CTGAAAGTAAGAAAGACATAAGCATTACACTTCACATTCATGGCACCGCATGGAAACTGCATGGTGATTGGGGGTATAATGCAGCAGCCTAAGAGTCCACTGAACGGCCTTCGCTGAGACCCATTTACATAAATAAAGCTACTGGATTTAAAAAATCACCTTCAACTAGCCTATGGAGAAAAATATCATCAGTTGCTATAATGCTGGCATTTCTACCTAGCAGTCCTATCTAAGTTACCAACCATTCATCACAGTTCAATGAAAAAAGAAGAAAAAAGATAATAAAAATAAAATAAAAATAATATCAATGCCTTAAACATGTCAAATATTTTTGTGACAATATATTATATTGCTTTTTACCGAGATATATCTATTCTTGTATTTTATAAACTCAGTATGTGTGTATAATCATCATTAATATCTAGGAACTGTATCCCATCATTTAAATCATTACTTAGTGTGAGTAATAATAAAAAAAAAATCTGCCAACTTGTCTAACAAAGCCGTTTTTGTCATAGGGTGCTTTCAACTATGATAAAGCTTCCTAAGGATTCAATTGTGTAACATGTAAAAATGTGTAAAAATGGATACCCAGAGAGAGGAAGGATAAAGAGAAATAAAAAACTTAAATACCATTATACTGACAGTTTTATATATACCATCCCTGTTTACTATAAAAAAGACATACCAATGAATTATAAATATGTTTTAAAATGTGAATATTCCATTGTGAAATAATTCCACAACAACCCTGTATATTTCTTCCCCAAAATATAACTCTTAAAAAATATCACTTTCCTCAATACTAAATAACCACAAGTTCACCTTGGGATAAACTTTACTATCGCTTAATATAACATGCAGAGAGGAAACGATGATGATAAGCTCTGGTTCCATTTAGATCTTTGGGGAAAAATGAGATTATCTGATGAGTCACTTTTCTATAAAAATAATGAAACATTTTACAAACACTTCAGATATGTACATCATAATGCTCTTGACATGTCATTTACCATTCATCTTTAAAGGGGGGAAAAGGGAGATAAAAGATAGAAAAATAAATGACGTATTAGTACAACATAAGACTTTGGCTTCAGTTTTTAAAAAATGCACAACAAATTGTCACAAAACCATACTTATGGTCAAAACAAATTGAACTAAAATACAAAATCAAGAAAATGAACAGCAGTTCAACATAACTCACTTCAACCATTTTTTTTATCTTTCTGTTCTATGACAGACATAAGCTGTCTCTTGCTATTTAAGAATATAAAGAATTCAAAAGCCATGGATAAATGCCCATATGATGAAACCTGATCACTAACAGTAAACAATCATAAATCATTTTTTGACTAATAATTAAAAATAATCCTTATCACTAAAAATAAACTGACCATTATTAAGACTCGTAAGAAGAAACACATCTATATATTCACCTTCTCGTTTCATTCCAAACTTTAGTCAAATATCCGTCATTAACCATCTTACGATCACTTACTTCACAAATACATTAACTGTATATATGAACATATGTAGATGTGAATGGGATATACAGTAGATTCTTAGAGATACTTTTTAGAGATGTATGTGGAGGAGTTCAATAACAAATTTGACAGAAGTGTAGATGTAACTAATTTCCCCGATTCTCTTTGGTGTGCATATTAAATCACAACCATTTTTGGTCTGCTTCACCCTAGCTATCAGAAAAAGTTTCATTATTGTTTTGCATATAGCCAATTCCAAAAGGTTAAATTACACCTCATAATACCCAAAACCAGATTAGAAAAATTACTGTGTTTCTAAACAATATTAATGAAATCATAACTATGCAAATCTATCACACTGCTGACAGTCTGATAGAATCTATACTCTTTATAGCACTTTTACCTTCCAATTTGGGAGGAAGTCCTTATATCATAAAAGATTGAAATGATAAATGATGATAATCGGCTAGCATTACGTTTATGTGACATTACATTCCCAATGTTAATTCAATGAAGAAAATAATAAGAAAGGATTTAGTGAATTAAAATGCTTAGCTTTACTAGTCAAATGATGTGCCATTTGGGATATAGTAAAATGTGTGAAAATTCCTATCACACATATTTATGAAATATGAGGTTGCCATCTACCTCTGTTCAAATTCTCAAAGAAACAACTGTCCACTAGTTATGAGAAAGTATAAAATGACCCAAACAAACTTTTGTCAAATTGCCTTAGATTGTAGACATATCATTTTCAATTAATTCACGATAAAATATATTACATATACTAGTACTACCTTACTCAATAATACTCAATAATTATGAATGTAATACTGATAATACAGCTGGAATCCATGACATAATACCATTGAAGTATTTACATGAAGTGGATTGTATATCAGAACTGATTTGTAGTCATGACAAAGAACTTGAAGTATTCAATAAGCAATACTTATTTCTACCTCAGTTAAGAGACAACTGCCCCTTGTTTCCGCTTCACCACTGTGTCCCTTCCCAGTCTGCCCACAACGGAATCTACTTATCAATATTAAACTTAGAAAGCTGATCTTTAAAACTATTGGAAATCAAATTTGTGAGAACTGGAGCAACCTGATGGGTAAATATTATAGCTTGCATGAAGACGACTTTGAGTGACAGCACGATCATTCTTCCAACTCACGACCACACACAGCAAGAGAGTGCATCACACAGTTTCATATAATGCTCTCATCTTACTTCAGTCAAATCTGCTGAATTTTTGATTGAACATCAAATAATTTTCAGTATCATTCCCTAAACATTAAGTTATGTACAGAGGAAAATATAAACACATCAAAACAACAACAAATTCTATGGTATATTTTTGTGCCATTTCATTTCCTGATATGATGTGTGCTTGTTATGAAAGATATGGTTAATGATTTCCTTGCGGCAATGATCAGTCTAATAAGCTGTAATAGGTAATCACATGTCTGTGCATTCTAGTTTTATAAAACTACCTAAGGTGTCCTTCTGCATAGATAAATCCACGTATTCTTGTAATCCAAAAGTTATATTATGGAAAGTGTGAAAGGGAACAAAACATATCCACAAGGATGTTGCTCATTGAGGGTTTTAAATTGGTGATATGTTGGAGAGTTCTATGTATGTAAAGAGAATGTTTAGCTGAATATTCTGATGAGGTTCAGTACGTCAATGGCATGATTATATTTGCATATCGTTGGTATAATCTTGGGTCACCAGATTAAACAGGAAGACAGACAGGAACAGGAGGGAGGAAGGGGGATAGTGAGGAGAAAGAATTTCCTATGAATAAAGATTATCAAACATTTCCTGTTAAGAAAGCTTTTCCTTCTTTGAAATGGAATCAAATAATACATTTCACTTTCTATAATCAAGTCTAACATGTCACACAAAGAGAGATTTAAAAGATAAGTAGTAAACACATTCATAGCAGATTCATAAAAATAGAAAAAAGGCAAGAAAATCAATAAAAAAACACACTAATATTCTATAAGGAGAAAGTTTTTGTAATTCTAATGGTCTTTTCTTTTTTTAGTGACAAATGAAATATATATGCATGTATTTATGCAAGTGTTTGTGTTCATGTGTGTTTGTTTCTACTTGTATTTGCTTTTGTATGATTTTTTTTTGTGTGTGTGTGTAACATACAGTATAAAGTAGAAAAGCACAACCAAATGACTGGGGTAATGTAATAAATACTTCATTTTGAATACCAGAACAAAAAGTATACTTTTTGAATTCACTACAAAGATTATAAGATTCATGTCAAACAATGTGTAAGCCATAGAATGGAGGGAGAAATAGGGAAACACATTTCATTTTCTTGCTTCATCAAGGCATAAGCATATGCTTCCCTGCTCTTCAATTTATTTTGTTTACCTCATAGATTATAAGATCATTACCTCTTAAAACATGCAAAAACGCCTTTCACAACCTTTTTAACGTTTATAAAACAGAATGCAAAAATAAAAGTTTCATTTTGTATTATGCTTTACATTACACACACTATCTATGTAGGTTCTGTCGTTCCAAGTAATAGTTCATATAATTTCTAGCTATATCAATATGTTAATAACTTTGCAGCACTAGGATAGTGGGAGAGGGAGAAAGAGCAATAGAGGAAGAGAGAGAGAGAGTGAGGGAGAAGATGGATGAAAAGGAGAAGAGAAAGGAAAAGAAAAAACAGAGAATGAGAGGAAGAGAGGGAGAGGAGAGGGAGAGGGAGAGGGAGAAGGAGAAGGAGAAGGAGAAGGAGAGGGAGAGGGAGAGGGAGAGGGAGAAGGGAAGAGGGAAGGGAGAGGGAGAGGGAGGAGGAGAGGGAGAGGGAGAAGGGAGAGGGAGAGAGAGAGGGAGAGGGAGAGGGAGAGAGAAGAGAGAGAGAGAGAGAGAGGAGAGAGAGAGAGAGAGAGAGAGAGAGAGAGAGAGAGAGAGAGAGAGAGAGAGAGAGAGAGAGAAATAGAAAAATTGAGAGAAATAGAGAGAGAGATGGAGAGAGAGAGAGAGAGAGAGAGAGAGAGAGAGAGAGAGAGAGAGAGAGAGAGAGAGAGAGAGAGAGAGAGAGAGAGAGAGAGAGAGAGAGAGAGAAATAAAGAGAGAGAGAAATAAAGAGAGAGAGAAATAAAGAGAGAGAGAGAATAAAGAGAGAGAGAGAGAAGTAAAGAGAGAGAGAGAGAAATAGAGAGAGAGAGAGAAATAGAGAGAGAGAGAGAATAGAGAGAGAGAGAGAAATAGAGAGAGAGAGAGAGAAATAGAGAGAGTGAGAGAAATAGAGAGAGAGAGAGAAATAGAGAGAGAGAGAGAGAGAGAGAGAGAGAGAGAGAGAGAGAGAGAGAGAGAGAGAGAGAGAGAGAGAGAGAGAGAGAGAGAGAGAGAGAGAGAGAGAGAGAGGAGATAAAAGGTGGGAGAGAAATGGAAGGTACAAGCAGATGGAGAGGGGACAGCAGGGGGAAAGAGAGTTAGAGGAAAGGGAGCAGAGAGAGCAAAAGAATAATA